ATTTTTATAGTTTTAAACACGCGCTGTAAGTTTATTATTTATTTCATTTAATACAATTTTTTTTCCTACATTTCTTGCTCTCTGTTTATTCAGTGTGTAAATTCATAAGTACGTCAGTCAGACAGTCAGTTTTTGTATGGTGTTCACCCTCATTGTATAGTAAAATGCTGCAAATGATTGTGGCAGCAACAGCAACGGCAAACAAATCACATAACGACGACAAAACAAACAACCAAGTTTTCTGCATGACTTCCATCAAATGAGACCCGACCCGTTCGTTCATTGTTCGTTGCGTTGTTGTCTTTGTGTAAAATTAATCCAATGCAATTGTACAACGTTGTACATTGATGATACTCATAAATGATAAATGAATCATTGAATGGTTGGAATTTGAAGATTCATAGGTCGACATGCTTTTGTAAAATCAATAATAACCATTGCAGTTTGTGACCCCAGCACAACGAAACTATACATAGATAGATACATTATATAAACTTGAATTTGCATTTGCATAAAGAAAATCTCAACTAATAATGAAAATAACGATGTTGACAAAGATGATGATGTTGGTAATATTGTAAGCTGTAGATAAAACGCAACCAAGCAGTAAACCATAGAATCAACCAACCGTCCAAGAACAACATTCCCCTCTTTCATTCATTCCTTTATTCAGTTAGTCAGTCAGCTATTTATTCCTTTTGCTTGGTTATTTTTGTATTCGAGTGTTTTTCTGTTCACTCTTTAACCTTCTCTGAATCGTAGTGTATTGCTGTTGTCTCTACGTTAGGAATGAGATCAGTTAAACTAATTAATCAGTTTCTTTTCTAAACAATCTGGAGCAAATTCCACATTTTACTAACTTTAGCTATTTATTATAATGGGCCTGAAACTTTTATCAAAAAACAGTACTTTTTAATATTAACCCCCATTTACTCAATGTCTAGTTATATTTATACTTTAGTTTTAGAAAAAATATATAGTATTAGAAGAAACAGCAAAGCCATTACAACCCACAATAGAGTCGTAAAAAACTCTTAAAATATAAAATTTTGATAAATATATTGACAAAATTGTAGGCCAGTCTATGAACTAGTTTATTAACTAGTTCATATCTTATCTATTGGTTAATATATGGACTAGTCAAGGTCCCAGTATATTGATTAGACTTTGACCTTTCAACTAGTCCATGTAATATTTTAACTAATGACTGTCATGGCCCAAAATTATCCTTAAATCATGTTATAATTAGCTCAGTCCTTACACTGACTCTATGGATAAGATGATAAAGAAAGGCAACAGAATGTACAAAAACAACAAAGTAATAATCTATTGATACTTGTGAAATTCTAAACGTTTTACAAATTCAAATGTACACAGACACTTAGCAAAGATTCAGTTGCTGTTGCTGCAGATGTTGCTGTGGCTGTTGCACAATAACTCTTAAATACTAGTGTATGCAAATGTATAAATACTGTTCAATGCAGCGCAACGACCTTATTTTATTTGCATGTACATATCTACTCGTTGCACTGATCTCGATAATTGAAATACAAAACTTTTGTGTGACTTAATATCGTCATGTGGCAGAAGTAGTTGCCACAGACAGCATCCATTAGCATATTTATAAAAAAAAAAGAAACAGAAAACAGGAGAGTTGCAAGAGCAAGAGAGGTTACATGATAATTGCAAGAAATATTCAGTAAACATCATCAACATTGTCGACTTTTGCTTTAGATTTCCTAACGTATACTATTTAGAAAACCTCTTGCCGCTTTCCTTATTATAACAGTTGGGAGAGACTTTTTTTATTGAAAATATCATAGCATTATGTGGATGTGTATGTAGGATATTATACGTAAAGAAAAACTATCACATCATACTGCTGTAGTTTAGAATTTCATAGCTTTTTTGCATTTATTTTTTTATAGTTTATGCTTCTAAATATCGTTTTCAAAGTTTTCAATGTTTGTTTATAGAATGTATGTGTTTTTGCTGTTATTGTTATTTTTTCTACAATTTATTATTATTTTTATTATTTTTTTGTAATTTTCATATTGTTAGTACTGCGGCTTTTGCTGCTGTTGATGGTTGCAATGTAAAATGTAATGATGATAATGCAACCAACCACAAATATCCTTGTGCGCATTTTGTTGCTGATTATGTTACAATTTGCATGAAAGTAAACGACTTTTCTTTTCATTTATTTTCCTCTCTCTCTGGCTCTCGCTGCTTAAAGTTTTGTTATTTGTTTTAAATATGCAAATAACAATAGTTTAGTTAATAAATAAACAAAGAATAATGAAATAAAAATTACTTTAAACTACTAATAGCAGGATATTGAAGTTGTAAAAATATATGATTTTTTAGCTTATTTCTACTTATAATTGTTATTTCAAATTGATTTGTTTAGTTTGTTTTATACATAATTCATAATAGTAAGAAGAGGGGTGTATTGGTCAATGATTTCACATAGACCAGACCACAGTCATAATTGCCTTAAAATACTAATATTCGATATGAAGAAATTTAACAATTAACGAAATCTCCTTACAATATTTTATACGGATCGGTCCATAATTGAGCCCACCATTCCAGTATAGCTGTGAATTCTAAAATAACCAGTCCATCTTAAATGCAGTTTGCTATCAATAAATCCATCCAAATATTGAGTATTATGATTGAAGTAGATCTTTTTAGTCAATCAAAAGCACACTACCTTAACGGTTTTGAATTTTTTGCTCTTTTTATATGTATCCCAGCAATAGGTACTTTCATTACCAAGAATTTTAAGTCATTATTTTACCACGATGATTGCATTGGAGGCAAGTACACACAATCGCTGCCTAATAAGGAGTTAAGTAGTATTGTTTCTGCATGCAAAATATTCTCTTCTTTTGATGAAATTTTCAGAGGTTGTCTCGGATTTTTGCTTATATTTCCGTTATTTATAGACGGATTTTGCTGATTTTAAATAGGAAACTTTTTGTAAGCATGTCTGACAGAATTATTGAAGATTTTGATCCCGAAGATATCTGGGTCTACAGGAACTGATTTCAACAGACAGACATACATACAGACAGAGGGACATAGCTTAATCGACTCCGCTATCTATAATATATATACTTTGTGGGTTCGGAAAATTATATTGTGGAAATTACAAACGGAATGACAAACTTATATCTACCCTTCTTACAAAGGTGAAGGATATAAATATAATAAAATGTCAAAGTATTCAGCTGTTTTTCTCAAAACGAAGTGTTTTGATTTATGCCGGTCTTATAGTAAATGAGCAATATTATATTTACATACTTATTTTCTATTTTATTATTTAAATTACCTTAAGGGCAATATTTACTTCTTATGAAAAATGTAATTTATTAAAAAACAAAATCAGATGTTTTGGAGTGTACCATATTTATTTATTATGTTGTAGACATTTTCAAATTCTTTTGGGTAATTACTTTTCTGGAAAATATTTCATTTTTAAATATTATACATATTTTACTGTATGTTGGCTTTTTTACAGTTATAACCGCCCTAAAAAACGTTGTTAATATTGTAAACATGACATAATTTACAAATCTATGACAAATTAAGACTTAAAGAGTTGCAGATTAAAATGACCTCCCGCACATTAAGACGAAAACAAAAATGGAGAAAAAATAAGAAAAATGGGTGAAAAAAGTAACAACCAGGCCATTTGTCAAAGGTTGAACATTTGATTAAAAAAATAAAATAAAATAGAAACATAAATAATACGGCCATTGTTAACAAGAAAGGAATGAATGAATAGAAGGCTAAAAAATAGGAGCACAAATAGCCAAAAGTTATAAATAACAAAACTTTGTTACAATTTTATTCATTGCAGTTCGGGGGTGGCTGTCCCAATTTACAAATTTTATATAGATTAAGTAATGAAGTTAATATATGGTTGTGATTATTCATTTAAACATTCGTGTGTCTTAGGAGGACAACAATTGACAAACCATTATCATACCAAACATCTATAAGAATTGGATAGATTAGTTCTGGTTTCAGTCTAGATTACTAAGGGACACTAAAGTCATGAATAATTGGGAAAAAGTTACTTTCAAAAACGTATCGATTGACTCCTTCAAAACTGCTGGGTTATATACAATATATACAATCACATAAACATAAACAGTCCTAAGTACTCATATAATAAACATTTGAACAAAAAAAAATAAAAAAAAACAATAATCCTACAGAAATAAACAACGTCTAAAGGATTTAACGTTAAAATACTTATTTAAGTACAGTTGAATAACACGAAGAAAAATTAACAGATGGTTGGTTGAGTTGTTTGTTCTTGTTGTGGGTAAATGAAAAGGGTTTATTTTCCGAAATAACTTTGTCAAAAATTAAGACGTACTTAATGTCAGATAAAGAAAATAAGCGAAGAAAAGGCGAAAAAAAAATTTAAGAAAAACTCAGCACTACTCAGCCAATTTGCTATTTGCTTTAACGCCAAAAAACAAATGGCCAAGAAGATAAAAAGGCTTTTAAAATATAATTTCTTTTGCTTCCAACAGATTTACATATAATTTTCATATAAATCCTATCAAATGTAAGTATAAGAATATTAAGGGTATTTTAAGTTTTTCAATACGTTTGCAACTGAAATATTTTTTTAGAACAACATTTCAATGATCTGAGTGTTGAATTTAACATAATATGGTCACGACAATTACAAATATGATGACAATGCAAACATAATATTTTTGAATTTCTTGCTTTTATGCTGTAGTTATTACTGTAAGTGATAATATATTAACGCCATTATAATATTTTCTAACGCCATTATACCACTAGTTTACACAAGTAGCGGATACACAAGATTTATTCCTGCTGCCTGTTTTTAAAACAAAAAAATGATAAATTTACTTACGTTAAATACTTTTTGCTTTTCTTCTTCTTTACTTGTAACTAATATTTTGAATTTCATTAATATTTTTTCGTTTCGTTTATTTTATTTGCAGATACTACTCCAGCAATAAGAACAACAACTACTAAGACAAGTGTTAATGTATTCGTGAGTGTATGTGTTGAATATTATAACAATGATATTATGCTAATTACCAGCTGTAAATCCACAAACAAATGCTGACATTTAAAGGAGTGTCAACAACACCAACACCAAGCTCAAAAAATAAAGCAACGCAACCAGAAACAGCAAAAAGGGAGCATCAAGCAGACGTACAAGGACATTAATTAATAACAAGTAAACGACACGAATCCCAACACTACAACATCCAGTCAACCAACGTCGAAAAAAAAACATTAACATCATCATTGTTAAAGACAACAACGTTGACGTTGTCGTCGACATCGACTTCGACAACCTCATCACCCAGTGGAGTACATAGTTGGTTTTGCTTTATAACCATTGAACATTCCACAGGAATTAACAAGTTGGGTAGGAATTCAACAAGAACATAAAACAAACGAAAAAAAGAGTAAAATAGTAAAAGAACAACACGTACACAACCACCCAGTACGTTGGCCCAAATTAAGGCCATTTTACAGACAGCAGAGTGCGTGTGTAGGTTTATGTAACAAAAGGCTACAACTACAAGAACAAAATTCAAAATATAAAAAAGCAATTAATGTCTGCCTAAACAATTTCAATTAAACAACAACTTAATTGCAATCACTCAACAACACTACGCACTCGAAATAATCACTTTCATCGTAAACAACGTCATCATTTAGAAACTGGCCCCAATCACAACGCCCCAGTACACTCAAAATCCATTATGATTCCAACAGAAAACAACAGATTTTCCTCCCCCCTTCACAGTAAAAAAACCAACAAAATGACAACACATTGCCTGCGCGACTGGTTAACAAAAGTTATCTTTGCCACAAGTCTTCTCCTGCTTCTCAATGTTCAGACAACAGCTGGTAATTCTGATTGGATGCAGAGTTGCAGCATGTGCCATTGCCACTGGAATTCAGGCAAAAAGACAGCCGACTGCAAGAGCAGACAAATCTCCACCATTCCCAATGACTTGAGCAATGAATTGCAGGTAATCGATCTGTCGAACAACATGATACCCGAATTAAGAAGAGAGGAATTTATGGAAGCGAGTCTTCAAAATCTACATAAGATTTTCTTAAGAAATTGTACTATACAGGAGCTTAATCGTGATGCCCTAAAGGGACTGGCCATTCTTATTGAATTGGATTTATCACATAATTTCATCAAAGAACTACATGTAGGGACTTTTAATGGTCTGGTAAAACTGCGTAATCTGGTGATGAATAACAATCAAATCGAAGTACTGGAAAATCATTTATTTGCTGATTTACATTTTTTATCGCGAGTAGAATTTAAGAACAACAAGCTGAAACGTATTGATATACATGCATTTGGTCAACTACCAGTACTATCAGCGGTATATTTGGAATCAAATAATCTAACCGTATTGAGAAGGGAGACCTTTCAGCGCACTCCTAAATTGGTACATTTATCGCTTGCCTCAAACCCTTGGAATTGCACATGCGAATTGCAAGAATTTCGTGATTTTGCCATTGCTCATCGTCTCTATACCCCACCTACAGATTGCAATGAACCCAAACATTTAAAGGGCAAATTATGGAATGAAATACCTTCAGAAAACTTTGCTTGCATGCCCAGAATTTTAGGTTCCGTTAGATCCTATGTCGAGGCTCAGTCGGACAACATAACGCTGCCCTGCCGCATAGAAGGTTCACCCCGGCCCAATGTAACCTGGCTATACAATAAACGTCCCATAAATCCCAACGATCCTCGATTTCGAATACTCAATTCCGTAGAACAACAACGCAGCGAAAGCACCAATATGCTCAACTCAGAATTGCGTATCTTTGGCGTACGTTCCACAGACAAAGGTTCCTACACCTGTATAGCCGACAATCGTGGTGGCAAGGCCGAAGCTGAATTCCTGCTACTCATCAATGGCGATAACTACAGTGCTCTAGATGGCACCGGGGGTGCTACCACCTTTGGCGGTATGGGCACCACCACCTCCGACAGAGAGACAAATATATTACTCATCATTTGCCTCATTGTTACCACCCTTTTGTTGTTGCTCATCGTTGTTGTCCTTGTTATTTGCTGGTATTGTCGTCGCATTAAAACGTATCAGAAGGATAGTACAATGCTAAGTGAAAACGGTTTAATCTCCTCAAAATTGGACAAAACTCATAATGGTTCGATGCTAGAAGGTTCCGTCATCATGGAGATGCAAAAAAGCCTATTGACAGAAGTTAATCCCGTTGAAAAGCCGCCACGTCGTACCGAATTGGAAAGTATTGATGGTGTTGGCAGTAGCGGCGATGATGGGCACGAGATTAAAAAGACTTTGTTGGATGAAACACAATTTGGTAAGTAAAACTCCTTTCACAATACAAACATCAGAGAGAGAAAGATAAACGAGTACGCATAAAAAATGTAGGTTGCATAAGTAAAAAAAGAAGAACGAATAATGAAGAAAGATTTATTAAAAGCATGAAGCAGAATGGCAACAATACCAAGATTAAGTTGAATTGTTGATGTCGCTTTTGCTAACTGTGTCAGTATAATTTCGTCATAGTTCCCTTCGTTTATGGTTTGTTAAAAATAAAATATGTTTTCTTTTGTTAAATTTGCTTTAATTTTAACCGGATACAAAATAATCTTAAAAAACAACATAGAGATATATTAACTCTTCAAAATACAGTAAAAGTTTTGTATATATGTATGTACTATGTATGTCACAATCCAAGAAGACAGCATTTAGATTAGATTGAAGAAACAGACTTAGGCCATTATCGGGCCTGTGAGCTCCTTTCATTAAATAAAAGCAATTAAGAGAGTGTATTTATTGCAAATTTAAAATTAGATTCCTTTTCCAATCAATAAAGTACTAATGTACTTAAGTAGTTAAATGTGTTTTTCCTTTAAAATGCTCAAATTCATCCCACATCAATAAATATGTATCTCGTATTTATATAAATTACATAAAGAATAAATTTACAAAAACTCTTTAACACACTAAACTTCTAAATAACTAAATGACTCTTTAGAATTTCTGTAGTAGCAAAACAGATAAATAATTTTCACTTATTGAATTGTCCAAAGTTTTTCAAATGTTCTAAATTGTTGAGATCTCTTGAGTTGAGGTCTGTGCGTGTGCTCGAAAATACAAACAACGTTGAACTATTTTACTCAACAGCCATGCATATGTATTGACAATGTGTCAATGCATTTGCAGAACTAAAGTAATAAGTACACTCTAACATGGTATGAATTTACAAATATTCTTGGTGTACATTGATTTCAACTTAATTAAAGAGTCAATATGTACAAATCAATAGTCACACTGTTTAAATAAAAATAATTTCAATGATTACTATTTACCGTCTGCATTACTTTTAAGTATTCTTATAACAACTTACATATAATCAGTTACATACCCAGCAAAAACTCGGTAATGGCATGTACTTATATAATCACTTACTTTTCAATAACTACTACTTACCGTCTGCATTACTTTTAAGTACTCTTATAATGACTTAAATATATTCAAATAATTAAGCACTTTTACTATTTTGAGTTTTGCTTTTTTATTTGCACATTTTATTGAATTGCGCGCTAGCAACTGTTGTTTACACACACAGGTTAGTATTAATTCCTTATTTGTAAGCACTTATTTAAGTAGTCCAGTTCATTGACTAATCAAAAAACTTATCTTTATACAAGTGATATATAGTCAATATAGTCAATATTCAAGTCTTAGTCCATAGAGTAGAGTTTATATAATATACTCAATATTTTATTTCTTCAAAAATGTCCAATGGAAACAGTGCAGTATATCTTGAAAACATAAATAACTCTAAATATATGCAAATTTTATGCTACAAAGAAGCATTTCCCTGCAGTTCCGAATGTGATGCCCCAGACTTGTGATCCTGTCTCTAACTTAGATTACGCCAGATTACATATTTTGCTAATTATAACTTGTAATTTTATCATATGATTTCTGCGGATTACTTTAGGACAATAATCGAAAAGTATTGCTAAAAAGGCTTACATTGATTCCTTGTAAAAATACTGGGTTACTACACATCCATATCGATAAATTGCCATCATTTGCATGTGTATGTACAAGTAGTCAGAAAAACTTTATAAATTTAACATGTTTTATAATTAAGACAGAAGATATAAGACGAAATATTTAAAGAGGAAGTGGGAGATCTGTAAATTGTATGTCAAAATATGCCAATATCAAAAAGAAAACTTGTAAAAGAAAACAAATAAAAACTAAAACAATACATGCCACATGTAAACATTTTACAAAAACTCTTTCTCTCTCTCACATACTGTGTGCAACACTTCAACACATGAAGTACAAACTTATCAAATACATACAAGGAATAAATACTTTTTGCAAGAGTTGTACATATGGATGTGTATGTGTTTACATAAATGGAGTCATGGAAAAAGTTTTGTTAGTTGCTGCAACAGAATATCAAATGAAACTTAATGACAGTCAAAAGTTAGAACTTGGAGTATTCAGAAATTCTGACAGAAATTTGAGACAAACATTTTTGATAAGTTATTTTACTGTGAATATTATTATAACAGCAGGAACTGAGTGGTATTCGATAAATTTTAAGAAAACATAAATTCTTCAAAATAGAAAAATGATCAGGACTTTTAGCAATTGTTTGTTTTAAATATTAATATTGTCAATATTTGATAAGATATTTAAGATAAATTCTTGCCACAAACAAATACTACAAAATGAGTATATATACTTTTTTCGTAATATTTATTAAATTTTCGTGCATAATAAGAAATATTATTTAAGCAGACCTATTTCTAATTTTACTAAAGTACGAAAATGGTTTACATTGACTCTTTAAAAATCAAGTTTGAAATAAAATTTAACATTTCATTTCAAGTTCATTGCTATTATTTTATCTCCACACTAATCTAATTGTTCTTTTATCAAATATGCGAGTATGTAGTAAAAGTTGTTGTATTGAGAAAAGCAGGATTTTATTCAGTTCCTATATTTATTTTAAATTTAAATTATAATGTAGAAACTCAAATAAAATAACAAAAAAAAAAACGTACAAACTCAACAATCTCGCCAGTAGTCAATCAAAAAACCACTTTGTTTCAACTTTGTTAAAATGCAATCAAGTGTAAATAGTTTTCACACTTGTATAGACAGTTGAAGAAGTAAATAGTATCTGGCACTCCCCTCTATCCTGGCGCGTACACACACGCATCTCATACACACTTATATATAAATCTCCTCCTACACTTCCTTCATTTTAACTCAATTTCCAAGTTTGCCGTATTTTTCTACTTTTTTTGCTTTAAAAGTAAATATAGAAGTAAATTCTTTAATTTAACCGTTTAAATGAACATCATGTTACACTCAATATGGAATACGAGTAACTGTGAACACAACACTAAAGCAACAAATCTGCTAACAACTACAGCTACATTTAAACAAGAACACGATAGAGCAGCAACTGTAAGAAGTGCCCCCAGGGTTACAAGACTAGAGAGCAAAACATCCCAAAGAATTCGCACAAAAATTGTATATTCAGCAAACGAGCGAAAAAAACAACAACTGACAACAAAATAACGAAGAAAATAAAAAAAGTCATCAGATAAAATGTATATAAAAAAGGTTAAAACGTTTCTATAAGCAAACAACTGACACAATGGGCTTCTTTTCTCTTGCCTAGAATAAAAAGACGGTCATGATTACCACGATGTTGTTTTTAGAAGACAAGGAAAATTAATGCATTTATAAGTTAAAATTTTAACCGAATCGCAATATTTTGGAAATAATATTTCTAAAAAGTTCATATTCTACAATAAATCATTAAATTTTAAGAAAGAAATAATTTTTATAAAAATCGTCCCAAAGTTTCGGAAGATATCGATATACTGAAATTTAAAACAGAAAAAGCAGAACTCACAATGAACTTTTTTTATTATTGTTATTAATTTATTCATTAATTTATCACGGTTGTGCTCTTTCGAGGAAACTTTAATATTTATTTCTATGTTTGCAACACAACACGTACATGTATTTGGTTCAATGACACGAAAAGTAAATAAGAAAACAATATTCTAGAGCTCAATTTTTCTGTGCAAATACAATTTTTTTACCTAATAGAGCAATTATTTTCTTGTAATTTTTTTATTTTGCAAAATTTCTTATAACTTAAAGAGTATTTCAATTTATAACATTTACCATTGTATTTCCTTGCAGGCAATCACCACCCACGAGACGATGAAACACATTCTGTGGCCATGTCAGATACAACAACACCACGTACACGTCACACATATATTGATGATACGTATGGCACAAGTTTGCCACCCGATTTATTAGCATTTCCTGCTCGTGTACCACCTACTTCACCATCGATGCAATCGTCACAGTCAAACATACCCGATCAGGTAATTTATGGCATACGCTCGCCACCACTCACCAGTCCGGTGTATGCTCACATGACACCCCACGGCATTTATGGTACAACCACTATTGCGGCAGCTACACCAAATGGATTTATGACATTGCAACATCCAAAATCACGTAATTTAGCACTTATTGCCGCTGCGAATAGCAGACAGCAGCAATCACCATTTGTGCCAGCACCAGTTGTATACTCGCCTGCAGCAACGGCTTCGGTTGTTATGAAACAGGGTTACATGACAATTCCACGTAAACCGCGAGTGCCTAGTTGGGCCCCTTCATCCTCCAATACGCACTCGACACAGTTGAGTGAGTTTCAATCACCCACCTCCCCCAATCCAAGTGAATCGGGTACGGCAACTACGGCCGAACTAACGGTTGAGCCTGTTTATGATAATTTGGGATTGCGAACAACCGCTGGCGGTAGCTCGACTCTAAATTTGAATAAGAGTCATTTGCAAGAACCACCAGTACGTTACACTATGCGTGATCGTCCGCTGCCGGCTACACCCAGTCTCACATCGGTCAATTCAAATCAAGCCCAACAGCAGCAACAACAACAACAACAGCAGCAGCAACATTCAATGTACCAGCAGCAACAACAACCTCAGCAACAGCATTCAACCAACAACATGTCGAACAATGCGAATAAAATCTACGAACCCCTACACGAGCTGGTAAATCAACTACATCAGTCAACGACATCCGATACAGAGCCATTATATGGCACGGCAAGACATCATTCTGGCCTAACCATTGTGCCCAGCAACAACAATGCAAGTGTTAACAACAACACCTCTTCCTCCGTTACCAACTCTCCATCGAACAGTGGCAACAGCAGTACAGAACCCAAGCTGACGAAAATACCTCCACGACCACCACCGAAACCCAAAAAGAAAATGTCCGTCACGACAACACGCAGTGGCCACGGCAGCACAAGTCAACTGTTTGACGACGAAGGTGAAGATGGCACCGAAGTTTAGTTGATAATACATAACACAGGTGATGCTGTTGGTGGTGGTGGTGGTAATGTCTGCAGTGTATCTAATGGTTGCTTCATTGTTGTCACCTCCTCTGCACCATCTTCTTGTTAGCTTGTAAAAACAAAATGCCTTCCTTTCCAAATCAAATGTAACGATAAAAAAACCCAAACAAGAAAACAGCTAAAAAAAACATGTTAAATGACTTTAAAAATAAGAAACAACATCATCATCAGTTAGTTGTTTTTCTTCCCAGCATGAATTTAGTTTTTCATTTCGGCACGATAGGATTTTTTTCTTATTTAGTTTTCCAAAGAAGTGCACTTTATTAACTCACCGCAACAACGTCGACTGATTGACTGCATTTTACAGCAGTAGTAGTACGGCAATCATTAGAAAATGTTTGACAACCAACCATCTCAGCAACAAACATTATTCTTCGTAACTAAGCCACCAACCAACCACACCACCAACACACCCATCAATACAACGACCTCCACAGTTTAACTTCTTCATACATGAATCACATTAAAAAAAAAAACATTTTATAATAGAGTATACCTGCAATATAATTCGCTTTTTTATGAACAGAACTGAAATTATTTGGATTTTTTTTGTATTTTTGTTGATTCGATTTCCCTTTCCTCTTCTACCGCAAGAGTGTTCAGGCTGCTGTGTTATTCTATTTGAATATTCCAATCAATTGGCAATTTAATACACTCTATGTATTTCAGCCATATAAAAGTATTTTGTTGTTGTTGTTTATTCTGCTGTTTTGTAATTTGATTGAGAGTGGAAAATCAAAATAGGAAAACTCACTGTAGTAAAGGGAAAAACCTCACTGTTATTTTTTTTTTTTTTTTTTGTTTTTCTTGTTTCTTTTGTTTTTCGTACTGTGTCGCTGTGTTTCGACGTTATGTTAGTATTTGTGTGCGAGTTAGTTGTGTTGGAAAATATTGAATTTTTCCTCTTATATTTTTCATATATTTTATCATTAATAAATTTGTTTCTTTTTTTTACAAATTTAATTTTTTTTATAAAGTCCTTTCGTTGAAATCGGTTATAGGGTTTCTGGGAAGTTGTTTAGAATAATATAAACAATTTTGGGCAAAACTTTTAATATTTTTGAAAATTAAATTTTTAAATTAATGCTAAAAGTCACTGTATTATGAATGATGAAGCAGAATACGACATAAGGTAAAGGTAATAGTGAAAAAATGTCAATAATTAATTCGCCTTGAACTTTATTCATGCACAAGGCGAATCTATAACTAGTGACCTTAGTGGCGAATTAGGGCTAAAAAGAACTAGTTCTTCTTTTTCTTTATATGAAGTTTTTGTGAGATAATTTTATTAAATTATGAAAAAATGTCAATAATTAATTCGCCTTGAACTTTATTCATGCACAAGGCGAATCTATAACTAGTGACCTTAGTGGCGAATTAGGGCTAAAAAGAACTAGTTCTTCTTTTTCTTTATATGAAGTTTTTGTGAGATAATTTTATTAAAGTATGGATTTTGTCATTCTAAGTATATTTTCCCTTGTACACGTCATAATTCCATGTTTGTTTCATCATTTATTCCTATTTGAGTGAAATGAAGAGCTTTTTTATAAAACAATCATGTAAACTCTAACGATTTAATAGTTTATAGTAAACGAGAAATTGAGCTATTAAAGTTTTTATTATTTCAAATAAATTGACAAATTTATTAAGAATAAAAAATATGAAGGAAAATTTTTCAACAAATTTTAAAGTAAATTATTCATAAAAAGGACATTCTTTTAAACATTCAAAAAGCGCCAGGAAAACTGTAAAGTAAACTTTAAAAGACACAATCTATTTTTTACAATTTTAAATTATTGTTTTGTATAGAAACAAAATTATGATCTCATTTTAAAATATTTTCCAACAACTACAGCATCGCCTAAACTAATGTCGATTTATTTGCCAGACTTGTGTGCCAAATGACTGATGTAGTTTTTACTGAAACTAAAATAAAATAAAAAAAAAAAATGAAAACAAAAAAACTAATTTATAAAAAGAAAATGACTTATTAAGCCGCAATGTAAACTTTTGTAATTAAAATATTGGAAAACAAAAACATTATAATATATTGAGCAAAACCTCTACTCAATGATCTTCATTATAAAGTATAATAAAAAAAAATAAATTGGAAAAGTTTTTTTTTTAGTTTTTAAAAATTAAGTTCAAATTTATTACAATATTTTATTAGTTTTATATGTATTTTTTTTTTTAAATAGATTTAGTTAGGATCATGTACAAAAAAATTAAAAAAAACAAACATTATATGACAAACATGTGTATAAAGGGGGACAAAAGAAGTAAGAAAGAAAAACATAAAGCAAAATCAAGGAATATAAATTTAATTATATTTATATATAAAGAAAACCTTAAATAAACAATGACATGAAAATATTGTATTTGTAATATAGTAAATTATATTTACGTGAAAACAAAAACAAAATAAAATTTAATAATATTGTTAAAATTAAAATTATTACAATAAAAAAAGAGGAAATAAAACAACCCATAAGTAATAAGTTTTTATTATACAATTTACAGAAATTTTTTATTAAACTAAAATTAAAGAAAAGAAGTAAAATATTAATACAATGATTAAAGCAAAAGGCAAAGAAAAAATTTGTTAAACAAATTAGGAAAGAGATAATTACAAGTTATGGGATTTTGTTAATTATTAAAATAATATATTTAGAATAAATATATTGCGTCTTTAAAAGTGCATACTATGTACCAAAGAATAAATATTACAAGAATACTACTCTCGATGAGAGGGTTGTTATGATTTACACGTATTCTTTATGTATTAGGACCCGCTATTGAAAATTTATGTTGTATGAGACGCACATTCTATGTATTAAATATTCTTTGGTACTACTCACTCTACTTTGTTCTCCCTTGGACAAAAATTCGAATGGAGGGGTGCTATAAACACACACACACATACACGCCCACATCTTTAACTCTTCCTCTGGCCTTTGGGTCAGTTAATAACTCAACAGGCGCTACAATAAAACCAAGATTTAATAATTAATTTCTTTAATTTGTTTTTTTATTAAATTTTAAATTGTTTATTTTATAAAGAAACAATAGTTTTTAAAACAAAAAAATATTACTTTATTTCTTATTTTTTTAATATTTATTAGTTTAAACATTTAATTAAAAAAGTAAAAGAAAAGTTCTTTAAAAAGTATTCATTATATCAAATATTAATTTTAAGTTTGTATTTTAAACATATTTTAATTAATAAGTTCTTTATAAACTATTTTATTTAAAAATTTTTTATTCAATTTCAAAATAAAGTTGTTCTGATGTTTTCCCTAAAGATTGCAAGTTAATCCTCAAGGTGTAAATCCTTCAAAGATTTGAGAAAATTCTAAATTTAAAAAAATGGAAGACATGGGCCCTATTTTATACCAAAAACCGTTAATATTGAGTGATTTTTTCCCTCAAATTTTTTTCTAGAATTTTGAAATTCAAACAAACTAAACTTTAAACAATTTCTCTGAAAGTCTGAAATTACTTTTGGGAGAAAATTTGCCATCTCACCGTTTCTATATGGTTTAGTTTTAGGGTTACTCTATTACTTGAACAATACATGGCAATCCTTATTTTTTTGAAAACATTTTTGAAGATATATTTTTAAAAAATTTCAACGAATTATTTTGTTCTAATTTGTTTGTAATAATTTTTGTAAATTAATAATTTTGTAATTAAAATTTTCAATTGATTTAATATTCACTGTGTATGTATTTGTAAATTTCTATGTAAATGTATTTAATATATATAAGGCCTTAGATAGTTTAAATTTTAAGTGGTACTTTTTAGTCTTTAAAGTCTATTATTAGGAAAAATAATAAATAAAAACTAAAAATATATTTTTATATTTTGCAAATTATTATTATAATTATTATAATTTTAATTGTTTAATTCTATAAAAAGTTGAAATAAACATAAAACGAAAACTAATTAACAAGTACAATTAAAATATTTTTTATACATTTTTTTATACATAATTTAGTATTTCATTTTAAACAATCATTTAAAATTTACTAATTAGTTTAAGTTTAACATACTTTTGGATTTTTTTAATTTAAGCAAAAACAATAAAACACATTTTTCAACGTTTTAAACGTTTTTAAATTAATTAATAAAAAATGTTTATATATTTTTTGTGTTTTCCACTATGTCCCAGCAATTTATATATAAATCTTAATTTGCATATTTATGTACATATATGTATTTGTACAAAATGTGTAGCAATTTTGTTTTATTTTTTTCCCTTAGAGATCAAAAATATCATAGTGATTTAGTTTATTGTTAATAATAAATTCATTTATTGATTTTGCAGATGCATTTAAAACCATAATACAAGTTTTGTTGTAATAATTTCTAACTAACTAAACCAACAGCAATAACAACATCAATAATATTAATTACTAATTACATGCATTTGTTAATATATTTAAAAAAACAAAAACAATTTAACAATATTTACTTATATAAAACTTGCATCAATGATTTGATTTTTAGTTTTTTTTTTGGAAAATTTTATCATTTTATTTAAAAAAGCAACAAATTGTGGTAATTATAATTAATAATAAAAAAAGTTGTAAAAATAAATTAAATATTATCATTATATTATTAATTATTATAATAGTAATTCTATAAATATACCTTATATTGATAAATTAATTATAAATAATTATATATAAAAAAATTATTAAACAAAAGGAAGAAATTCTAAATATTTAATAAATGTATAAAAAAACTTTTTTTTATTAAAAATTAAAAGAAATTTCGTAATGTTTTTAATTTAGACAGTATCAAGAAACTCTTTTTTGAAGTTGTGTAAGTATGGAAGTTTATATTGTTGAAGTTGAAATATTTAAAACTGACATCGGCATAGAGATCCCTTATAAACACTATTGTAGTCGTGCAAGAAAAAATTTGCCAAATTCACTGAAAATATTCATAAAACAAGTAAAAAACAAGTAAGAAAGTATAGTCGGACGTGACCGACCATATGACACCCTACACCAGTTATGAATATTAAATGTGATTTATTTTTCATAATAATTGTTCCGATACATTTAAGCACAACAACATTTAATTTTCTGAAAGAGACTTTATATGGGGGGCTAGGGGCAAATATGGACCAAGCCCGATAAAGTTTAGTGAATATATTTATATAATATTTATTTGTGCTGAATTTCATTGCGATATTTGTGTTTATAAGTTAATTTTGGACATTCAAGTAATTTTCTGAAGGGGACTTTGTATGGGAGGTAGGGTTAAATGAGGCCCGATCTTTATGAAATTTGGCAAGGTCATCAAGACTTGTATAAAACTTAGTTGTGCCACTTTTTATCGATATACCGGTATATTTAACATAATTATGAGCTTAGAACCCTTTTCGGGGGTTGTGTTGTATGGGGGCTAGGTGAAATAATGGACCGATTTAAACCATTTTCAATAGGCTTCGTCCTAGGGCAAAAAAAGGCGTGTGTGCCAAATTTCATCCAATTAGCTTGAAAATAGCGACCTGCACCTTGCGCACAAGGTTTACATGTACAGCCTGACGGGCATGGCTTAATTGACTCAGAAAACGATTCTAAACCGATTGGTATAGTTTAAGGTATATGAAGAATATTTTAATATAAACATCTGCACAAACCCAATATACCCCCACCACTAAAGAGAATAAAATTCAGAATACCTCTAAAAAATAATTTTTTTTCCAGATACTAGATAATTTATAGATTTTATCACAATTTTTTTTATCCAGACATGAGTTATGTTTAAAATCATTGTAATCGATTAAAAATTTCGGGATTTTCATTTTATTATTACATAATTATTTTTTATTATAAATTTTGAATAAATCTTATCATGCAGAGATAATTATTATCTTTCCAAAAATGTATAAAACATTAATATTGCTAAATAAAAATACAATAGAACAAAAATTTACATCCCTAGTCTAGATTGGTATCTTATATTGTAATACCTTAAGAAATAAGTAAACGGTAAAAGGATGGAAAAGCCATAATCTTAAACATAAATTTGGAGGCTAAAATTATCCGCAAAAAGGCTAATCTGTCAGCAATAGTAATAATCGGTCAAATTAACAATCTTGCAACTAAACTGTTTTAAGTTCAACAATTTTGCATAGCATACTTAGAGGCTTTATATTATAAACGACAGCCTCAAAGTATACGTTTAAAATGTGAATAATGTATTAAAAGCGGTGTTGCCCTCCCGTTTATTTTTAATAACATTCATTTTATGCAAAGTTTATTACACGGGCCTGTCACACATTTCGATCGGAATGGTTTCAATCCGTTTTATTATTCTTCCGAATTATGTACTTAGTTTACAAAAAATTAAAATTATAATGATTTTATTATAAAATTGATTCTGTTTAGTTCATCAAAACTAGAATCGTATTTTAGTAGAGGTTCTTTTTATTGAAA